TAATTACAGTCTCGCTGGAGAACTCCGGTCTGACGCACGCGGGTTCTCGCGTTATTTCCTTATCACTTCTCGTGTGTGTTTTGTTGTGGAACGTAGTTTGCGGACCAGACAGAGCTGTCGGCGATTCTTCCTATCGTGAAGTCATGCAGTGTGAAACCCCCTGTCGCTGATCCATCGTGCAGTGTGAACACAGCAGTGACTGAATGCTACCCCAGATAGTCACGCAGTGTGAAAACAACGGCGATCCGACGAGTTTGAAAATCGTGCAGTGTGAACTCGCCATAAGTGTTTGCAGTGACAGAACTCACATGATCACACTGCAAAAGATGATTTTCTTACTTGGATATTTATACTAGAAAACAAGACAAAATACTAAGAATTATTGAATCAAGATGAATTTATGGAAAAATGAATAAAATTATGTTAGTTTTTGCTTGAAACAAGCAAAAATATCTGCCAATGGGGCAAGAAAAATACTCTTGTTTAGCTTTGAATTAAGATTATTTTTCTTACTCCATTGGCAGATATTTTTGCTTGTTTTAAGCAAAAGCTTACAAACTGTTGATAATTTTTTCAAAAAACAAGTCTTAATATCTTAAGTCATGTTACTTGTCAAGTAAATGCATCTTGAATCAAGAATGTTTAGACATTTATACTAGAAAACTAGACAAAAATACTAAGTAAGAGAATAATTTTTTGCAGTGCAGCCCTGATTGAGTTATTCTGCAAGTGTCCAACAGATGCCTTTTTTGTATATAGCAATGTTGCAATATCCTGTCTTGTCAAACTTCAAATAAAACAAAATATTACTCATTTATTTATATATACTGATTTTATTCAAATGAAAAAAAAAATTGGTCCTTAAAATTACCAGATGTTTTTCAACTTAAACTGAGATATTTTTATATCCATGTGGCCCTCCAAGTGTTTTCACACTTTAATACATAAATAAACAAATAAATAAATATATATTTTTTTATAAAACCCACATCTTAAAACTGTTTTCAGTAACGGTTAGCATTCCTGCAGCTCACACAGTAGATCGTGCTTCAGCTTCCAGTGAACTGCATTGTAAGTCACTTTGGATAAAAGCGCCTGCTAAATGCATAAATGTAAGAGTTTTCCATAAATAACTCATTGAGCGTGTGTTAAACGAGCTTCCGCTGCAGTCGTGTCTCTTACAGTCACATTCTGCTTGTTTCGTAACAGCGGTCACAAGTTCACGGCGCTCAGATCTTGAATCAATGATCAATGTCTCTATATGATCTCTCATCACTACTGCTATTTCCTAATCACCACACACCCCATATCAAAATGCATCTCACATGTAATCACTTCCATTTCTTTCATTTCTATTTGAGCATCAATATTTCTGAACTATGATCCAGGGTTTTCCAAATCAGTCATTATTTCTTACTCTAAATTTTACATCAGTTATTAAATGTCACACAGACACAGAAGCGGCTCCTTACAGATGTTTACAGGCTCAACATCCCAGCATGCCCTGCGTCTCACCTCTCACACCCTCTAGTGGTGATGGGAAAAACACTTCAACATGAGATGTGTGCATATCAAAGAGCATGCTGAAAAAAATAAATAAATAAAGCGTAATTTTTTATTTAGTTAAGCAAGCTCGTTTTTTTTAATTCATGCATTTGATGATTTAATGTTTAATTGAAGTGATGATTTATTTAATTTAAAAGAATATGTCTATAAACTTGTCTTGACAGCTATGTAAGCACTGCACAAACGACATCACAGACCGACACACACATCCAGGAGCTCAAACCCACAAACCCAAACTCAGACGACAGTGTGTGTGTGTGTGTGTGTGTGTGTGTGTGTGTTCATGTGTGTATTAACCAGCACACGGCATTTACAATCACATATGATCCACATCAATCCATCCAGAGATCATCTCTGACCACCATCAAACACTTCAGCCATTTATACACTAAACAGATCACTGATAAATCAACAGCGAAAAAAACAAAGATCTGAAGTATTTTAGAATATTGGACAATTACTCAACATATTCCAGTTTCAGAGCAAAGGCAGTAAGACAGCATATCCCACAATGCTGTTCAGACATGTAAAAAAAGCATGATGTTTTTGTCAAATGTGAGCTGAACACTCATAAAGACATTTGCTGTGCGGTCTGATATAAAGTCTCCTGAAGATCAGTGCAAAAACACACACACACACACACACACACACACTCACACACACACACACACACACACAGTACAGTAAAAAACAGTAATATTGTAAATATTATTACAACTGGAAATAATATTTTTTTATTTGAATATATTTTAAAATATATTTCTGACCTATATAAAAAGTTATTTATTCCTGTAATGCAAAGCTGAATTTATCATTACTCCAGCCTTCAGTGTCACATGATCCTTCGGAAATCATTATAATATTCTGATTTGCTGCTCAGTTATTAATGGTGCTCAGTTGTTAATTATGATTCTTATTAGTCAATCTTAAAATAGTTTTTGCTGCTTAATATTTTGCGGAAACATTTTTTTTTCTCAGGATTCTTTGATGAATATAATGTTCAAAAGAACAGTATTTATTTGAAATATAATATTTTGTAACATTATAAATGTTTTTACGGTCACTTTTGATTAATTTAATGCATATTTGCTGAATAAAAGCAATCATTTCTATCAAAAACAGACACACAGACACAAATACCCCAAATATCTGAATGGTAGTACATCATGGTTTCTGCATAAATATTAAGTAGCACAACTGTTTTCAACATTGACATTATTACGATATAAACATTGGAACGTTTCTCAAGCAGCAAATCAGCATATTAGAATGAACTGAAAGATCATGTGACACTGAGGACTGGAGTAATGGCTGCTGAAAATTCAGCTTTGCGTCGCAAGAACATTTAAAAAAATATATTATGATAGAAAACAGTTGCTTAAAACTGCAATACTATTTCACAATATTAGTGTTTTTACTGTTTTGAGCACATAAATGCAGCCTTGGTGAACATAAGAGACTTCATTAAAAACCTTTAAAAATGTTATGTTTCCAAACTTTTGACAAGTATTGTAATTATGCATAACTTACTGTTGTTTAAGTACATGCAATGTGTAACAAAGTGCAACTGAAATTTTCAGTCTGCATTGTTCTCGTATAGTTTGTAAAGTTGTAATCACGAGGTATGACGTTATGTTGCATATGTGAACATGTGCATGTGTGTGTGGGAGAGTGAAATAGCTCTAATTGTGCTAGGCCATGGCCTCTGAGCTCTATTATTCCATCCTATGGCAGCAGGTCATGCCTGTGGGGCCACCGGCCCTTTGAACCTCTGCAGGGCTGAACCCTTAGAGAAAGCCGGCCCACAATGCTTTTCTTCTGCGCCTCTCTTTTAGTGGGGTTTGAAATGATTGGTAACTGTTGAGCCACTGTTCTCTCCGTCGCTCCCCTGCTAGTGACCCTCTCTCCACTGTGTCAGAGCCACTAGATAAGACAGAGGTCCAATTATCCGCACACTCTCTCTTTCTCTTTCTCTGTCTCGACACACACACACACACACACACTCACACACTCACACACTCACACACACACACACACTCACCGCTGAAGAAGCTCTTGACCCGCAGGTAGCTGACGCTCAGGCGCAGGACAGACAGTTTGTCCAGTTTGGAGATGATCTCGGGGGAGAAGGGCAGCAGGCTGGCCAGTCGCTCCAGCTCAGCGTTCAGACGGTCGCGGTGCCGCTTCGACGGGTTCGATTTCTCCGTCACTGCCGCTGGTTTTCTGCTGGACAAAACAACAGTGTTATGAAGCAACAACGAGCCAGAACCAACTGAGCTCAAGCCTCAGAGATCAACGGCAGCCAGACTACAACACACCGGACGCACTCACAGAAAACACCCTTTACTCTGGATTAAACCACATTCAGAAGCACAGAGCAACAACATGTACTCTTTACATTTCCCACAGCACAGACACAGCCAATGATAACACTAGAAATACACATCTTTGAGCTGTAATATATTTCTCATAATGTTCAGTGACACAAATAACAATATTATGTGTGATAATATTATGAATGATAACAGATAAAGAATGATCATTTAATAAAAAGTTGAGACTATAGAATTCACAAGGCCTGAGACAAATTCTTATTCTGCCCCAAAATTATGATATTTACAACCAGAGGCTTCTAAAAACAAATGTATACTAATCAATAATTGCCCGGCTTGAGTCGGTGAGGGTTAAAGGTGATATTCAGTCAAATATTCAGTGATGTTCTTCATCTCGCTGCACACTGAACACATTATTTCACTCGGTTCACGAAGCCAAATAAATGAATTAATTAATTAATTTCTCACACCGGACTGACCCTTGACCCTGAGGACCGGTCACTTTATCTGAGATGAAGAAACTAGCAAACGGCAGCAGGTGCGTCTGACTCTCATTCACATAACAGCAATCAATCAGCTTCACCAGCTCCAGCTTTAGCTCAGGACTCCAGCGATCTCTGAACTCTTCAAAAGCAGCTATGAATATATTCAACATCAACAAAAGCCTCATCTCAGGACGGCTATGACTTTACCGTGTGATTAAAATCTTCTGAGGTTTTATCAATGTTTCTTTGCTGCGTTCTGGTCTCAATATTGATTTGATCTCTTTTGCAATAATTTCAAACTCAAACAGTTTGACTCACTTTCTCTTATGTTCATCATTAGTGTCACATAAGCGTTTAATGTTTTCATTACGGCACTGTTTTAAACCAAAGAAAAATTAGTAGTAGTAGTAGTTGTATTAGTAGTATTGTTGTAATTGTTGTTTTAAACCATAAAATAAATGATTATCATTATTATTATTATTGTCGATATTGTTAAGGGAAGTGTTTCAGGATGTTCTGATTTAGGAAAACAATCCTTGGTCAGTCAGTGAGTTTCTGTTAAACACTGCTGCTGATCTGAAACACAGAGCTGTTAGTGAATGTAAGATAACGAGTCTTAACTGCTTCTGGACGGGTTTCCTCCTCTTCCTCCCAGCGTACAGACAGTCTCCAGGAGGAATCATCTTCACAACAGATGCTCTGAAACACATACAACAGCCTCCTAACAATAATTCAGTGCATTCAGTTTGATATCTATCATTAATCACACTGATTCCATTACACTAGTTGAAATACGGGTAGATACAGAATCAAATGAATGAATGATTCATTCCTAAACGATTCTGGTGCTGTTTACAGTCAAAGCAAGCATCTGTAATCATCAATAAATCAACATGAAAGTACCTGCTGTGTGATGATCGAGCGCAGAATGAGCTGCAGCAGAGACTCGAGTGTGTGTGAGTGTGTGTGTGTGTGTGAGTGTGTGTTACATAGAGCTTGCAGAAAATATCATAACACACAAAGGGAATGTATCTGTCACCCACTAACAAAATATTTATGGCTAATTACCTGAGATTGTCTGGCATTTGCCTGCTGACGCTGGTTATCCATCTTCACACGCCTGCCACAGCAGCCACGAGTCGCATTGGAGTGACGTCAACTCCCCCTTCGACTGATTGGCTAGAGGAGCAGCTGTCAATCTAGAACTAGTGGGCCAATGGTGAGCTGAAGCCCGCCCTGATTTACATGAAACTCTAACCGCAACATTTGGAAAGGCAAGCGCAGAACGTGGAAACAAGAGCGAAGGAGAAAAGACCGTAAGCACACAAAAAATTAACATATGAGCGGGAAAGCAAAATTTTGAATTCATGTTTCAGTTTTGTGCAATATAATTTTAAATGTGTTTACATTTTTGATTTACGCTTATTATTTTTCGATCCGTGACCGCGTTGTTTGTTATTCAAAACATTTTTGCATTTGTTTTTCGGTTTTGTGCGTTATTATTTTACACGTGTTTTTAAAATTTTGATTTATGCTTATTATTTTTAGATCCGTGACTGCAATACATTTGGCGGGATTCTGATCCCATAAGGGATCTCTCTCTCTCTCTCTCTTCAGAAGCTCAGATGGATTTTAACGGAAGAAAAGATGAAACATTTAAACGTCGGATTTCAGGAAGAGCATCAGACTGAAGTACGGAGAATCATCTGCTCGTTTATATTTAAAGCAGAAATAATTCGACAGTGTTGAAGGACAAACCAAACTCTGATCGACTGAAAGCGAGCAGAAACCTTCGGCGCACAAATACGATAATAAAGGACTGAATGTGGTAAATCACGTTTTAACTGTTATTCTTGAAAACTAAAGCACGATTAATTTGATATTTAACTTGTAAATTAAACTTCTTACTAACTTTATACTGTTATCTGCGTGTTTTTCCACATATGAATATTGTCAATCCAGCATTAATTGGACTTTAAAACCCCAGGAATGGCAGCGTGACGTGTGCGTCTCTGAACGCGTTTGTAAATCACAAACGTTTGAAAATAAAAGTAACACTAGAATAATGCTCCGTTGTTAACAAGTAACTATGCAGGAAGTAATAGGTAGTACTACATTAACACTTAACTTAATACTATTAACTAATAGAGAAGCAAGATTAACTAAGCAGTAAGTAGTAGCAGATTTAGGACAAAGGTAGTTCCTTATTAGATATTTGATAATTATTAAATAAAAATATCCTCATTGAGAACTACTTGCGAACTATGACCAATTAATAAAGAATAACCAATTAATTACTAATCACAACAGAAACGTCTTAAAAGTGAACAATTGGGTTCTTTGTGGAAACTAATTTATGAATATGATATACTGTATATGAATATATACAGTATACAGTGACCATAGACCAAGACCATACAGCTGTTTAACAGGACAGGTTCCACTCAGTACAGGCCTTGCCATGGTCGACCAAAGAAGTTGAGTGCACGTGCTCAGCGTCATATCCAGAGGTTGTGTTTAATTGGTCATAGTTCACAAGTAGTTCTCAATGAGGATATTTTTATTTAATAATTATCAAATATCTAATAAGGAACTACCTTTGTCCTAAATCTGCTACTACTTACTGCTTAGTTAATCTTGCTTCTCTATTAGTTAATAGTATTAAGTTAAGTGTTAATTTAGTACTACCTATTACTTCCTGCATAGTTACTTGTTAACAACGAAGCATTATTCTAGTGTTACCAAAATATGCATATAAATTACTCGTACATCATCTAAATCGTGTGTGTGTATGTATGTGTGTGAGAGAGAGTGTGTGTGTGTGTGTGTGTGTGTGTGTGAGTGTGTGTGAGAGTGTGTGTGTGTGTG